CTCACGGCCGCCGCCTCGCCCTCCTCGGCGCCCGTCTCACCGCGATTGGTGGAGCTCTGGCCGACGGAACACTCGCTCCCGCTCAGGTCGGCCGCCGGTCCGGGATCGGGATCAAAGTCAGGATCGGGATCGGAACCGGTCAGGCCGAACTGCGCAAACGTCGGGCGACCGGAAGAGAGGCGGCCGCACACGTTGTCGGCTGAGCCCGAGACGGTCGGTCTGGGCCGGCTCTACCGGACGTCAACCCGGCCCCAGCAACTGCTGGTACCAACTTCGCCTCAGAAAGTGGTCGGTTGCGACCCCGTTCGCTCGAGCCCCTTGACACCGTCGAGCATGACCCGGCCGTCGGCTGGCCTCGAGCCCTACCCACCCCCCACGGCCGTCTGGGCCGAGACCGGCCCCCCGGTTCACGGTACCGACGGCCGCCAGTTCCGCGCAGGCGTCACCCCGTGGCCCCGCTCTCTGCCCGCACTCGACTGTCCGCATCTTCCTCACTCGCCTCATCTCCTCCTCAATCAGCCTCGTCCTCTGCTCCACCTACTCCCACAGTTGCATCAGCATCAACATCAGCATCAACAGCAACATCAACATCAACATCAGTACCAATATCAGTACCAAAATAGCCAGCAGCACCAGCAGCAGCAGTTCTCGTGGCGGGGCCAACTGGTCGGCTCACACGAGGCCTCGACGTGTCCGCTCGTGGCGACTGAGTTGCCGCTGCACTCGCTGTCGCTGAGGCAGCAACAGCAGCAGACCTTGTCACCGCCACCACCACGTCAAGCCTCTGCGGGGCTGGTGCTGCTCAACGCGGGCGCCAACAGCACCGGCTCTCCGGACGCCTTGAGGCCTCTCCGTTCGGCCGTACAGCTTGGACCGATCGGTGAGGCGGCAACCGGGTCGCCGTACGCTGCGATGCACAGTTCGGCCGCCTCATCCTATCCTCGGGTAAGTCGGCGAAGCTCTGTTGAGCACACCCTCCTTAGGAGATATGAAGAAAAAGTGGGTCTCCAAGGCTGCCTTGGTGATGTAGAATGGCATTATTGTACATTATGAAGGAAAACTTGATTGGAAGAAATTCTGTTGGGATTACTTCCATTACGAGTAGAAGTGTTGGGTGAAGAGATTCGAAGGTCGGTTCCACCAGAAGA